TATGGATGCAGGTGGGCTGCCCTGACTATACTGATGCCTAAGGGCACACAACTAAAAAGCAGGGTGCAAGCAGGTTCTCGTCACAATTCTCCAGAGTGGCCTGTGGCTTACAAGGTGAGGCTGGTGTGGACTTCACACCACAGCTGAGATGGCACGGACGAGGTGTCAGCAGTCAGCATTCGTGTGTCCTCTGGCTGCCCTCTGTCCTCATCACTTCTCTCAAGGTGAATGCTTCCCGATCAATCCACATGAGAATTCTTAAGTAACTAAAGGACCAGATACTCCATTAGCTACAAAAGAACCTACAAGGGGGGCCGGCGCAGTGGTGCAGTAGGTTAATCCTCTGCCTGCGGCGCCGGCATCCCATATGGGCGCTGGTTCTAGTCCCAGCTACTCCTCTTCCAGTCCAGCTCTCTGCTGTGGCCCAGGAAGGCAGTGGAGGATGGCCCAAGTCCTTGGGCCCCTGCACCGGCATGGGAGACGAGGAAGAAGCATCTGGCTCCTGGCTTCGGATCAGCACAGCTCCGGCTGTAGTGGCCATTTGGGGAGTGAACCAACAGAAGGAAGACCTTTCTCTCTGTCTCTGTCTCTCTCTCTCACTGTCTGTAACTCTGTCAAATAAATAAATAAAATCTTTAAAATAAATAAAAAAGAAAAGAACATACAAGCCTAGCTCCAAGTGAGTTCACATGACTCTTCAGCCACGGCCAAGTGGTCTAGGCCAGAGACGGTGACTTGTGACAAGACTGCTATCACAGCTGGGCCATGGGCTTTCTGGAGAGACCAGACCTTTTCGTGTTAGGTGGAATATAAAAGCTATGCTTTTGCTAGGTCTCTCCTGCCTTCAGCAATCTCCTTCTAGAGCTATGCTGGGTTCAGTTCCTACCTCCTCTGTGTCTACCTAGGGTTGGGGACTCAAATACGCAGTCAGTGTGGCTGCTTATCTGAACTTTGTCAGCGTCCAAGCTGTCTACACATCTGCAGGTCCCATTTATTCATGCAGCCCCAGTCTTTGCTGGTTAATTCTGCTAGAATGGAAGCTCCAAGTGCCAGGGGTAGGCAAACCCAAGTACGCCACAATAACAATGCTCTCACAATGCAATCCAGAAAACCAAGTGGTGTTTCTACAAACCTCTAAAAATGTAATAATATTCATTTGGTCAGAAGGGATGTACTTGCCTAGGGAGAGCTCAGGCTTCCACTAGAGGCTGAAACACACCCCACATGGAGGCATTCACTTTTGCAAAGCTAATTTGGATCAGCAGAAAGATCTGGAAGTGCAGGCTACCTCAGCTCTGCCTCATTTTCCAAGCACCCAGGAGTATCTGTGGGACTAACCCTGAAAGCCTTTATTAAGGCAAGGCTGGTCTCTAAGCCCCGGAATGAGCATCACCCTCTTTAACTCCTTGCCACACGTAGCAGGCTCTCAGTCTTCTCAATACACCTGACTCCTGGAGAGCAGGGTGTTTCTGCAGTTGTGCCCAAACTGCTAAGACAAGGACATGTGGCATTAACTACATCACCAAAGGACTCAGGTCAGGGCTACCTTAACGGATGAGACAGATCCCTTGGTTCACTTTGCATACCACTCAATTTACAAATATTCAGCTAACCTAATTTTAGGACTACAGTAGTTTCCCCTTACCTGGTTTCGCTTCCTATGGTTTCAGTTACCTATAGTCGACCAACTGCAGCCCAAAAACACTAAATGGAAAATTCCAGAAATCAACAATTCTTAAGCTTTAAATAATTTTTGCTAGGGTATATTGTTATAATTATTCTATTGTTGCTAATTTCTAGCTTTGTCTAACTTATAAATTAAACTTTATCATATGTATGCATGCATAGGAAAAAATACAGTACATATAAGGTTTAAATATTAACCATGGTTTAAGTATCTCCTGAGGATAAAAAGATACTATGGTTTACATAGCACTTGCGTTAATTAATCACATTTAAGTTTGCTTCTTTGTATTACTTTTGTCATTGACTAGTTTTCCTAAAATGTGTAAGCATGTATTTAAGTTAGAGTTTAAAAATCATATATATGGTAAAAATATCCAGTCAAAACTTCAGAAGAGAGCAGGTAGTACTTAAACCTACTTATAGAATGCTAAAAGTAAAAGCACAAACACTTTCTTAAATCTCAGATCTTAAAACCACCTCCAATATAAAAATATTTCACCCATGTTCCTTTTAGAATCTTAACCACACATGATCCTTATATGGGAAGATTTTATCTTCAAAGCAAACTTTTAAGAGAATCAGAATATAAATGCCCATTAATTTATGCTGCTGTTTCCTCCATTTGATCTATGATTGTTTTGCTTTGGGGACAAAGAAGGGGAGGGAGAAGAGCAGGAAAAACAAAAAGCCAAAAACTAACAAACCTTAACTAGTGAGGTTCCAAATAAAGTTAGGATTTTTGTTTTCTTCTTCTGAATTCATATTTTCAGAGATATTAGCATGTAGCAGCAAAGCTGCAAATTTACAAAGGTAACTTCCCTAATCTGTAAGCTGTTTTTTCTTCACCTGAATACAAATCTTGATTTTTGTTCCTCTAAGAACATGAAAATGAAACCGAAATTAACACATGCTAATGCATATTCATGTCTGATTTTAACTCCAAGCACAGATATTTCATTGCAAGGGAGAAATCTGAAAATTGTGAATCTGAAATGGCCTATTGCTAGTGTACTCCTGGGAAGTCATCTCTGTGTTCTGAACCTCATCTCGGTAAAACACGTGGTTTCTAGGGACCTCTTCCCCGGGCTGCAAATGACAGGTGACTCTTGGCTAAGTGTCTCTTCCTCTCCCTCTCCTGTGTCAACTGCCTCTAACTTTCCTCCATACAGGGTGCTGGGGAGCTGGGATGTTCTCCATTCCATGGAAGGATGTGGAGCGTGTGGATAAGACAGAACTTTAGAGCAGGAAGGGGCTCTAGATTTCACCCAATCCAAGCTCTCACATGACCAAGGAGCCCTATTTTACGGAAGGAAGTACAGTAGTTACCTTTTCTCTGTGATTGCATTGTCTGCAGTTCAGGCCAACCAGGCCTGACCAGGGTCTGAAAATATTAAAGGAAAATTCCAGAAATAGACGATTCATAAGCTTTAAGTCATTTTTATTTCAATATACTGTTAGAATTATTATTTTATTATTAGCTAGTGTTAATATCTACCTGTGTCTAATGTATAAATTAAGATTTCTCACCCTTATGAAAATACAGGAAAAAATGATATATATAGGATTGTACTATCTGGGGTCTCAGACATCCACTGTGGGTCTTGGAATACATGCGCTGCAGGTAAGGGGGGGACTACTGTTCCATCTCAGGGCTCCTCATAAGCCCACACACTGAGCAGCAATGATTCTTACACCTAGCCTAAGCCAGAGTGTGCAACAAGTGTTCCTGGCACACCACAGGGTCCTGGATGCTTCCTCGCTTACCCTGAAAAGCCCATGGGGATGGGGAAGCATCACTACATGGCTACAGAAGTTGCCATTTTTCTTAGCTGTGAACTAGAACTTGATCAACTCGGGGAGCATCTGTAAGTCCCAGGGAGAACAGAAGCCCTAATAAGCATTTATGTGTGTCTAGAAATGATCTCAGGCGACCCTGGCCCAAATCCTAGGTAAATGATTTCCTATGTCTACAAAACAGAGAACTGTTACTATTAAATGTGGCCTCATACAAACACAACTGGAAAACATTGGGTTCACTGAGGCGAATATCACAAACCTCTGAGCAAAAAATACCATTTTCCTGATGAGAAAGCTACGATGCATAAAGACAATGTGTGGGGACCAAGGTTAGGCCACAAGCAGTTGCTGACTGTAATGAGTGAACTAAAAACAAGGTTCGAGGTGTTGGGCCAAGGTTCTTTTTAATTTTGCAGCCACGCCCAGAAACAATCCACAGAGAGAAATGTTTCATTTTTTTCTCTAGTATATACTTATGCATCCTATCATTAAGCCTATGTTTGCACATCTGTAAAATGGGTGTATAAATGACACCTTCTCCTAAAAGGCTTCTGTGAATACTAAAGACCATAGATGATGCAGTTAACGCACTGCCTGGTACACAGTGAGCACTCAACAAACACCTGTGCAGCGAAACGGGTATAGACAGTTGCCCAAGATGTTAGCTCACTGCCAGGTTCCTGAGGGCTGCTGCGGGCAGCACCTGCTCACTGCTTACCCAGCCTCTCTCCATCTCTCTCTCCTAGTTAGACAAGGAGCCCTGACTTTCTCGGAAGGCGATGGAGACCCAGTAAACAGACCACAGGAAGCAGCCGCCCTTGCAACCAGTAAACAGTACCTGGCGGCGAATGCCTCCAGGAAAGCTTTTAGGGATTTTATAGAGGCAATGAGGGATGAGACAGAAAATGTTAAGTTCCTGGGAAATTAATAGTTTTCTGACTCCCCCGGGAGCACTCCACTGCAGCCACCGTTTCTTGTTTCCTAGGTACCCGACACGGTGCTCACGGGAACCAGCACGACAGTGCTGGCAGTTATCCGCGTTTTGCAGGCGACTCGCTCAAGGTCACAGGGCCAGCCAGGGAACCGGAGTCCCATTCTAAAACCGGAAGTCCTTACCTTCTCTAGTCTGCTGTGCAAATGCTTGGCTAGACGGAGAAAGGTTTTCACTGTAAACTCTTGCCCTGCACAGGCAGCCCTAAACGAAAAGCCTGGGGGCCAGGGGCAGCTGGGCCGGGGACTAGCTGTGTGACCCTGGACAAACCAAACCGTCTCTGGGCTTCCGTGCAACAGGGGAACCGGGGCCCGACTTTGAACTGTGCGGCTGCTTCTGGCCCTAACAAGAGGAAATGTCCTAACGCCAGCAGATTCGCCAGGGAAGCCCAAGAGGCGGGAAGGACGGCGGGCGGGTGCTGGCCCGCGACCGCGGAGCCACCCAGAAGCGGAGAGACCGGGAGCGCCCTCCCTGGCCCGCCGAGCCGGAAGCGAGTGCGCGCGCGCCGCGCGGAGCCCGGGGTTACCTGCCAACGCCGCCTCGTCCCCGTGCACGCCGCCCGTGGGCAGTCGGGCCAGGAGCGGCAGCCAGAGCAGCGGCCACCACGGCCCCAGGGGCGGCCGCATGCCTCCTCGCCTCGGCACCGCGCCACCCGAGCCTCTGGGGGCCGGCGGCCAAGAGGAAATGGCGCGGGACTCGGGGGAGCCAGAGGGGGCGCGAGGCCCGTACGCGGGGAAGGCGGAGGCCCCGCCTCCCGGGCGGGGAGGAGTCGGCCCGAGGCTCCGGGCCGGGCCGTACCCTCGGGGCTGCCGGGCCCAGCCCCAGGGGCTCCCGCCGCACCGACCCGCCTCTCCGGAGCCTTCCCGACCGTTACGGCCTCCAGGACTGGCGCGCTTGCTTACCTGGAGGCCTGGAACCTCCAAACTATTGGAGGCCAATGAGCTACGTTCTGCCGCTCTGGGCGCCTGGAGGCAGGTAGGTCTGGAAAGGATGCGAGGAAGAAATCGTGCTTGCTTGAGTGTTGACCTGCGGGATTTGGGGCTGAGTTCTCAGAGCTCTCTGTGACAACCCATGAAGAAGACCCCACCCCAACCCCTCCACCTTTTATATAGGCAGTTTCTTTATTTTTGCCTTTGGATGTTCTCATTTTTTCTTTGTTTTCTGTAACAATAGCAAATTGGAAGTCTGATTGCTTACATAATTCATTGACTTGTATTTCTAAGCTCATTAAAAACCTTCACATTTCAGAGTACAAAAGGGTTTAAGATGGGCAGGTGCTGTGGCATAATAGGCTAAGCCTCTGCCTGCAGCACCGGCATCACATCAGTGCAGGTTCTAGTCCCTGCTGCTCTACTTCTGATCCAGCTCCCTGCTAATGGCCTGGGAAAGCAGTAGAAGATGGCCCAAATACTTGGGCCCCTACACTCACGTGGACACCTAGAAGAATCTCCTGGCTTCAGATTGGCCCAGCTGTGGCTGTTGAGGCCATTTGGGGAGTAACCAGTGGATGGAAGACCTCTCTCTCTTTCTTTCTGTCTCCCCCCGTCTCTGTAACTCTGCCTCTCAAATAATAAATAATTTTTTTTAAAAAAGGGGGGGTTTAAAGTGTCCCCTCACCAACTAACAGTCCTTAAAATTAGTGTGTTAAAAACAGATATGAAGATATATCTTGAATGATCATAATATTGATAATTAAGATGGCCTTTTGTTTTATAAGAACAGACTTGCTACGTTTTGAATAGGATATGTGCTCCAGTGAGACAACTAACTCTGGCATATTGTGTACCTCTGAGACTTCATGGGACCCAGATGTGACCCAGCCTCATGCTACTCTGGGCAGTGAAGAAACTGTCATTGTCATCCTCCTTCAGCCTCAGGAAGATAGCAAGGAGCCATGGGACTGTCGTGGGATTTGGCGCTGAACTGGTAAAGCCCAACACTGGGCTATTGGTCCCCATCCCTAAGCAAATGCCTGTGGGTGACGTTTCTGGACTTGTCCCAGTATCAGTCAGAGACCTGCAGCCTTCTGGGACAGCCTCAGTACAGTAGGTATCACTGGCAGCTTCACGTGGACCTCCAGGATTGCACAGGGCCCAACAACTATGAGACCCAGATGTGGCCCACCTAGTGCCTGCCTATGCAGGTAAGAGTCTGCCCCCCTGGGCAGGCAGCAAGGAACCACAGGACTGTTTTGGTCTCAGTGCTAGGCTGGTAAAGCCCATCATGGAGCAAATCCTAATGGACCCTGTTTCCAGACAAGTGGCTGCAGACAAAGTCTATAGTTGCCTCAGTGCCGAGTGGAGTTCCACTGACCCAGTTGATCCATCTTATATCCTGGTCAGCTGATAGGAGAAGCAGTGAGCAGTGAGTCCATCTCAGTAGTAGACATACCATAGAAGGGTGGGCTATAGTCCTACCTCTAAACTGCACTGGTCTTGGTGGGCTCTGGAGTAGGAGTCTGGGCCTAAACAAGCCCCAAGAAGAAATCTGTAGGAATGGACTACCTTATTTTAGGCACTTCCCTATTTCATTCTGAAGAACACACAAACTAGAGATTTGGGACAAATTGGAGTTTGAGGAGTATTGTAGAACTGAAACAGGGAAAAACATCAACATCAGTTCTGGGACAAACCTCAACACAGGGTTGCTATCTAGTGCTGAAATAGCGTAAGTGTCCTTAGGCTCAGAGAAAATTGGCAGGCTTCTTAGACTTTCTAGAAGGACAGCCACAAATGAAGCCAGATTGCAATAACTAATTCTTCAACAAGTGACAAGAACTTCCAGGGAAGGCCAGCACTGTGGTATAATAGGTTAAGACTCCACCTGTGGTACCAGCATCCCATATGGGTGCTGGTTTGTGTCCCAACTGCTCCTGCTCCAATCCAGTTCTCTGCAAATGGCCTGGGAAGTCAGTGAAACATGGTCGAAGTACTTGGACCCCTGCACCCATGTGGGAGACCCAGAAGAAGCCCCTGGCTTCAGATCAACTCAGCTGTAGCCACTGTGGCCATTTGGGGAGTGAACCAGAAGATAGAAGACCTTTCTCTCTCTCTCTCTCTCTCTCTCTCTCTCTCTCTCTGCCTCTCAAGTAAATAAATCTTAAAAAAAAACAAAACAAAACAAAAAAAAAAAACTTCCGTGGAACCATGACTTCATACAAGGAGAAAATTAAAGTAACAGAAAGCAATCATCAAGGAATTAGAATTTTCAAATGCTTGGATGAAGATTTAAAAATAACTTTTAAAGAAACTAAATAGATCTCAACAGAATGCAGAGAAATGGCTTAATATTCTAACAGAGAACTGATAGAGATGGAAATGATTGAACCAAATCAAGCAGAAATTCTTTAATTGAAAAGTATACTAATGTGAAATTTTAAAATTTGATAGAATTTATAAATAGCAGAAGAGATCAAACAGAAGAAAGGATCGGTGAGCTCAAAGACAGTTGGAGTAGAAAAAGAGGATCCAGAAGAATGAAGAAAGCTTAAGAGAACTTAAGAACAGCATGAAAAGAGCAAATATCAGTTACTGGGGTTCAAGAAGGAATTGAGAATGCCAAAGGAGTAAAAAGATATTCAAAGAGATAATAACAGAAAACTTCCCCAAATTAGAGACAGATACAACTCCAGGTATAGGAAGGTCAAAGGTCACCAGTCATAGTCAACCAACCAAGTCTACCCCAAGATATACTATTATAATGTTTTCTAAGTTTAAAGTGAGAGGATTCTCAAAACTGTAAGAGAAAATAAACAATTAATGCATAAGGGGATCTAAATTCACCTCAGTGCAAACTTCTTAACAGAAGCCATATTGGCTAGGATGGAGTGTGATGAAACTTTCACAGTACTGAATGAAAAATATTGCCAACCAAGAATACTGTACCCAGCAAAGCTATCCTTCAGGAATGAGGGAGAGATAAAGACAACAAAAGTTGATACAATTTATCACCAGCATCATCTTAACAAGAAATGCAGAAAGGAGTTCTTCAAACTGAAAAAAAGTGATGCAAACAACTAAGAAGAAAAAACCCAAAAACCCAGAAGGCAGAAAACTACTGGTAAGATTAACTGTGCAAATTCAGAATGCTGTAATATTTTGAATATTGTGCATAAACCATTTTTATATCTAGGGTGAAGACTAGAAAGATAAAAGTGGGATCGGATTAAGATGGCAGAGTAGGGAGGGAGTTTACTACTCTAGTCTAGCAGAAGATAGTTTAAAGATAGTGGAGAGAGTGCAGTCTCAAGGAAGAGTTAGAGAGAAAACAGCAGAGGAAACTCCACAGAAATTAGAGGGAAACAGCGGACCTATGTGGAAGGTGTGGCATTCACAAATCAGGACCCTAGCAGCTGAGAGCCTCCACACCAGCCTTGGAGAGAGATGAGAGCAGACTGCAGCAACCCAAACCACTGGTGATAAAGCTGCAGGAAAAGCCAGGAGGGAATCTGACTTGGAGCCCTGTGAGGGATAGTGTACCTGCCAAACTAGAGGAGGAGAAAGAAGAGAGGGGGCACATTTCTTTTTACCCTGATCATCCTGCAGCAGTATCCTGTAACAAGTTGATACAGAGTGGGTACTATTTTGGACATACATAACCGCTGTGCCAGCTGCTGTCCATGCCCAGCAACCAACCAAGTGGAGACTCCGGAGTTTGGTGGAGAGAACTGATGGGGGCTGGGTGCTTGCGACTGTGGGAGGCGTGTAACTAGGACTCTTAAAACACTGAGACTGTGTGGGAAGGCTCAGGATGTAGCTGGAACTTGGGGCAGTCACTGTGGGAGGATCCAGACACTCAGGGCTCCCTGGTTCCCTGGTGAGGGACAGTGCTGGGGAATCTGCTTACACTGAGGACTGCACAGATCCTTTATGTAGTTCTTGTGGAAGTACGGATGAATATTATACCAACTGGCACTGGCCCAGGCACTGGTCTCCTTTGAGGAGAGGAAATGAACTGAGTCTATGCCAACAGAAGAAAAACCTCCACTCTGATTAAAAAAAAAAAAGATTTACCACACCCAAACTGAGGGTCACCTTAACACTCCTTTCACCCTGGAGCACTGAGCAGAGCTCTATAGCCACAATCAATGCATGCCTCTAAGTATTCCCTGAAGACAGAAACTCCACTAATCCACACAGACATAGTCCAAAGATAGAAGCCACCAGAGGGGGGAAAAAAAAAAAACACACCAATGAATCTCTCCATCTCCACAAATACTGAATAATAAACACACCAATTCTAGAAACAAGAATAAGGAACACAACATGATCCCCCAAAAGAATATAACACTTCAATACCAGATTGTGAAGGTAAAGATTTTGAGGAAATGCAAGAAATAGAATTCAAAAAATAGATCTTAAGATTACATAGAAGTAATCAGAAAAAAGCATGAACTACTGAAATCTGCACATGACATGAAAGAAAATTTCTCCCACAAAATTAAGATCTTAAAGAGAGAACAAAATGAAATATTGGGAATGAAAAATTCAATAGAATAAAAAACACAGTGGAAAGCATTAACAATGGAATTGGTGAAGCAGAAGAAAGGATATTCAACTTAGAAAACAAATTGCAGGAAATTATAGAGTCAAACAAAAAACAGGAAGAGGAAATCAGAAAACTAAAAAACACTGTTGGTTATCTGCAAGATACAGATTCTAGGAATTCCTGGAAGGCGTGGAAAGAGATAAAAGACTAGAAGGCATTTTTAGTGAAATAATAATGGAAAACTTCCCTAGTTTGGAGGAAGAAAGGGACATTCAAATAGTGGAAAAAGCACATAAAACTCCTAATAAACATGATCAGAAAAGATCTTCACCATGGCACATTGTAATCAAACTCTCCACAGTAAAACATAAAGAAAGGATTCTAAAATGTGCACAAGAGAAATGCCAGATTACTTTCAGAGGATTTTCAATTAGACTCAAAGTGGACTTCTCATCAGAAAATCCTACAGGCTAGGAGAAAATGGCAAG